ATGGTGAGGTAGCTATGGGGGCCATTTGATGAGTCTTATGCCTGAGGGTGCATGAAATTTTGTCTGCTTTTGGTGACACAACTAAGGAGGAGGGTGAGGCCTGACCGTGTGCAGGTGCCCAACAAGTCCTTACTTTCGCCATTTGGCTTGTTATTTTTTAGCATGTCTTTGTGATCTTTGCTTTAGAGAAATACAGAGCTGGACTGATAGACCATAGAATAGTTGAGCATAAATATTAATTTTCAAAAGAATCCTGATTGATCACATACTCTGAGATCCTGGTAACAGTCGGTCCTGTCCCTGGCATATCCTTTACATCTTTTGTCTGTTCCCACTTGCCCCATCACAGCCAGCTCCTTCCCATCTCCCAGCTTCAGGACACTGTCCATGTCAGTTTGAATTTTACTTCCTCCCTGGGAAACCATTCATGTGTCCCCATTACCTACACAATCATTCTTTTAAAACTATGGTTCTATCCCAACCTACTTTTCAAAGAGGTGGTTTCCAAACTACCTTTGAAGAGCCTCCTATGAACTGTGTCTGCTTAAAACAGCCCTCCATGTGGAGATGGTTCCATGGCTCCAATCTTGTCCACCCTAAGTCCAGTTCCCATACCACCTTTGCTACGACGTTCCTGCTCATGTACTCTGTCTTGAATTCATGCAGAATTGTCTTCTGGAATTTGTATTTTACCCTTATTTTGTTTATTTAACATCTTTTGGGCCTCCTTTAAAAAAATGCAAGTTCTGGACTGTCAGAGTGGCTTAAGCAGTAGAGTGTCGTCTCCCTAGCAAGTGTGAGGCTCTGAGTTCAAACCCCAATATCACCAAAAAAATCCCAAAACCAAACAAACAAACAGCAACAAAAAACAAGTGCAAGTTCCCTGTGGCGATATCCTGAGAATTTCCCCAGGAGCACAGTGTTGGGTAGAGTGTAAATAAACGTATTTTAAATTACAAAAAAGTACATGTATGTGTGCAGCACGTGAAGAGAGCAAAGGTGATATCAAGTGAAAAGAATGAATCCAGCAACCTTTTCTTAACTCACTCCTGGACTCCCCAGCTGTGATCACTGTTCTTACATTTCTTTTAGGAATTTTATATGAATATACAGGGTATAGACAGTACTTTTTACACAAATAGGGTAAGACGTTGCACCTTGCCCTTTTCAACAATAGATCTTAGAGATGTTTTCATATCATATGTGGGTTTGCCTGATCTTGTTAGTGCCCGGAAAGCATCTCACTGATGTACAGATGCCCTTCTAGCGACGTTTAGACTCTTTCTGACTTGCTCATATCTGTGCAGTCGTAACTATAAGATAAATTTATCTTAGTAAAAATATTTATTTTGTTTTGCTTTGCCATAATGCTGGGCAGAGGCTGCAGTAGAATGTGCGTGTCTGCTTCTCAGCCTCGGCCTACCTCCAGGAAGCTTCGTAGTTTTGTTTCTTGCTCATTGAATAGGCAAAACGGAGTTTCATCGTTCTTATAATTTGTATTTCTTTGATTCTGAGTGAAATCTAATATTTTCACCTTCGTTTTCTGAGAATCTTCTGCTTTTGCACTTTACTCATTTCTAAACTGATATTTATGTACATATTTGTTTGTTTAGCTTTGCTGAGGCTGTTATCAAACACAGAGCCTCACACATGGTAGGCAAGCACTCTATCACTGATGACACTCTCAGCCCCTAACTGATTTTCAAACAGTCTTGATGCATTCGTGAAGTTTATTTTTTTTCTATCAGTTTGTTGATCTTTTAAGTTGTTTTCAACATTTAATTTTCCACAATGGTCATATTTATCAATTTTTTATTTTGTGGTTTCTGGGTTTTATTTCTTGCTTAAAAAGGACTTCCCAATTCTGCACATATTAGCTCATGTTTTCTTTTAATACATGGCAACATTTTGAAAAGATAAGTTATGTATTAAAATCACTTTGAATTAATTTATTTCAAGAAGAAAGTGATTTAGGTTTGTTCTTTTCTAAGTTACCAGCATGTGTCCTAACACTAATCACCTTTCATCTTCTGATTTTGAATGCTCTTTATATCATATGCCCAGTTCTACGTATATGTGGTCTTAGTTCTAGACTCTATATTCTACTTATCTGTCAGCACCAAACTCTTTTCATTACTGTAGTTTTATAACAGATTTAAATGTTTGATAGAATGAGTCCCCTTTTTAAAAATATGAAAACATTTCTGGCTATTCTAGCAAGGTAAACTATTCTACTGAGGTAAACTTTACTATCCTTTCAGAAAATTTAAAAATACTCTTTTTTTAAATGAACTTATAGATTAAGGTGAACTGGTTCACTTCCAAATAGTCTTTCCATTACATCAAGTCTCCTGATAAGTATTCCAGTAGACATTTAAGCTTGCTTTGTACAATTCTTTCATTATATTGCCTCATAATTTTCTACTTTAAATTAGCTGTTCTATTACATTTTCTTGCTTGTTATTATTATATGGGAAAACTATTGAGTTTTAGAAATTAATGTTATAAGCAGGTGCCTGGAGTGATTTTTCTTACAGTTTTTAGCAGGCTTTTTTCCAGTTAAATCTTAGAATTCATCTGTATATGATCATGTCAACTTCAAAAAAACAAATTTTCATCCTTTAAAATTTTTACATTTGTTTTATTTATTTCACTTTGCTAATTCCACTTGCTAGTCAAACCTTGCATAGTAGTGTTGTTAATAGCATCATTGGCTCACTCATGACTTTAGGATTTCGTCCATTTCTTCCTCTGGCTAAGAAAGTATCTGTCTAGCTCTGCAGGAGTGCATTTGTGTGCATATGAGTATGTGTGTGTTTAATTGGCTGGGTATTGAGTTTAATACTATGCCTTTTAGACCAATTCAGTGAGTTATGAAGTTTGCAAGCTTCATCTAATAGTATCTTATTAAACTAATGATTTTCCTAATGTGGAATAATCCTTGATTTCTTGGATCAAATTGTACTTTTTTCTTTTTAATGTGGAACTGCCTTCAGGAAGTAGTTTATTTTAAATTGGATTGAATGATATCAGTCTTTGTGTGTGTGGTCGGTCTTTTTGTGTATGCATCTTATTTGAAAAAAAGGTTTCAGTTCCATACGCAGAATTTGGCAGAAATCAGTAAGAAGATGACAAACTACTCAAACTAAAATGGGCAAAAGGATATGAATGTGTAATTCTCAAAGAGGAACTGTATTAGTTCATTTTCCATTAGTATAATGATATATCTGAAACGTAGTAATTTGTCAATAGAGGGCTTATTTATCCTATAGTTTAGGGGCTGAAGTTCAAACAACATGGTACCAGCTATGGTGAGGGCCCCCTGGCTGCATCACACTTGGTAGATGGTATCATGGTGAGAGCACACATGAGAGGGAACAGAAACCTGGAGAGACAGGAAGCCAAAGCAGGGGTGGGGTGAAGGCCAGTCTTCTTGTTTTCAAAACAACCCACTACCAAGAACTAACTCTCCTAAGAACTATATCAGTTCCTTCCAAGGACAAGCAGGAGCCCCAGTGACCTAAAGATTTCCATTCGCCTCACCTCTTAAAGGTTCCACCACCTATTAACCTTGCCACAGTGGAAACCAAGCTTCTGACACACGAATCTCAGGAGGATAAACCATATCCTAACTACCAATGGCTGAAAAAAATGTAAATATACATATAAAATTCCCAATATCACCTGTAACTTAAAAATGTAAAATAGCCATTGGCTATTTTTCTTGAACCTGCATCTTCAGCACCATTTAAAGACATAAACATATCCTATGTCTCTATTAGTAATGATGATGGCTTTTGTGTTCTTAGTTCCCTAATTCTAAGGAGCATAAAAGCTCATCATGGAATAACAAAAATTCTTTGCTTTGCTAGCCTTTAATCAAGTTTCTGACTAGGCCCGTCTGTGTACTTCCTTTCAAACTCCAGTTTTATCAAAGAACCCTGATCACCCTTGATATCTGATCACTCTCAATATCTGACCAGGTTCTACATCCTCTACTATCCTCCACCATCCCTGGTCCGTTTAGCTAGAATCACCCTCACCGCTGAAGCTTCCTCTATTACTTTTACATCTTTGTCCCCCACACCCATCTTGGGTTATAAATTCCCACTTGCCTATGCCATATTGGCAGTTAAGCCCATTCTCTCTGCAACTCCCCATAGCAGAGGTCCCTATACCTGTCACAAGAACCCCAAATAAAGTCTTCCCTGATATGCTTTAACAAATATCATTGAATTTTTTTCCTTAACAAGAGATACTTGGATTTAATTTCTGTAATGGGCAGATAAGGGATTCAATGCTTACTACTTAACAAAGAGGACAATATACAAAGTTATGAGGTTTCTATTGATATCTATTTGGATTTGCTTTCTAAACTGAGCGCAAACAATTCAGTAAGTAACTTTGATTCTCTGGCCTAGAATTTCATACTTAACTCAGATACCAGAAAAATACCAGATGAGTTTTTAACACATCTGAGGGTCATTTGAGAAATCCAGGTCTTGGTTTCTTCACCTGTAAAATGGGAACTGCTTTGCTTGCCTCAGTAGATTGCAAGAAGGATGAAAAAGAAGAGATGGATGATGAAGACCTTACAAATCTAGCAAAATGTGAAGTAGCATTAATATTTTAGGTATTGCAAGTGAACGTAGCAGAATACATAGTGTTTCAGATTGAAATTTCATAAAAGGCTCCCAGTCTTCTCCATATCAATTGAAGAGACCTCTGAAGGAGAGGACGTTTCTGACATTTCTGCCTTTCCCCATCACCCCACGTTTCTCTTCCCCACCAGCCCCACTTCTGCTGCTATAGAGTCTGCCCGTGTGGCATTTTTACATTGGGAGAAAGGCAGGTGGAAGGGTGGGTAGGCATTGCCTTCCATCCTCTCCTGGCAGTGTCTACCATGTGGGGCCAGAGTGAAATATAATTCTTTGACTATGTGGCTGTCATCACTACACCCAACAGCAGGTTTCAAATGCGTGGAAGATGAGGCTACTCACGAGACACAGAGGCACAGGACTCCTGGCATCGACTCGCTGTCTCTGATCAGAAAGTTGCCATCTACCCCTTCCTTGAGCAGCAAGGTTTCACAGTCTTGCTTGGACAGAGGGCCATGGTAGTAAGACAGATCCATGGAGAGTCAACTTGGGTTTTAGCTGCCCTGTTAACCTGAAATCTAGCTCCTTCACATGAAGGGATGGCCCTGAAGAGAGAAGTGGAGGCAGTTTGCTTGAAGGGGCTGCTGGAAATACCTCTTCCTCCAGGGGTGTCCAAATGATATGAGATTTCTTTGTGGGGCTCAGTAAGCTTTGCAGTTCAGGAAGTGAGAAGGGAGGGGTGAGAAAGTGACCAAGACTTTTCAGCCTACAATGTCCCAAATGTGACTCACAGAAGGGGGTGAGAGAGGATTTGAGTACATAATGGAATCACCGATGTTTGTGTCTAGGGCTGCAATGCTGAAGGAATTGTCTTGCTGCTTGTGTATCACCTTCCCTGGCTACTGGTATTCTTTCCAGGCAACACACCACTGATTTCGCTGTAATGGGCACCCATTTTGTGCCAAAGCTGCCTCTGATCAGGCAGGCTTAGCTCAGAATGGGTACTCACAAAACATCTGGCTGCTAAAAAAGTGACTATGTCCAGATACAGTGGAACATTTGAAAAACTGGGACTTTCACTGCTCAAATGTCATAAAAAGTAAGCATCAATGAGAACAGGAAGCAGTTGGACATCATGGGGAAGACAGTTCTTCCTGTGTGAAGACATCTAAGTACTGGTGAACAAATGTTATTTTCATTTTATTTTTTTGTGGGGGAGCAGTACTGGGGTTTAGAACTTGGGGCTTCACTTGTGCAAGGCAGGTGCTGTACTGTGTACATGAGCCATGCCTCTAGCAAAAGTCTATTTTTAACACTCAAAAGCAATGTTACTTTTGAGGAAGGGAGCAGGTGAAAGGGACAGCTGGGTATGCAATGTTGTGCAGGTGAGAGGGATATCTGCTTATGCAACTTAGTGCAAAGGTCCTTTTTTAGGTGGATGAAAAGAGGCTATTAGGACGGGTTTGGAGACCTTAGGTCCTTTGAGTTTATACTGCAGAACAGCAGTGATGTGTCCCCATGAACAAAGACAGAGAAAAGTCTATTTGAGGGCTGGCAGAATAGCTCAAGTGGTAGACTGCTGCTTAGCAAGCATGAGGTCCTGTGTTCAAATCCCATAAAAAAAAGAAAAAAGAAAGAAAAGTCTATCTGTCCAGAGACATTCATCCCTCTACATCACCACGTCTTTCCACTTGGGAAAGGTAGATAATCACACAACTCCTGTTAGAGTAAGCTTTAAAGTAATTTCCAAAGCCTTTTTCAACAACCAAACTGTTTGGCCGGTGGGCAGCCACCCCATGGTGATCAGGGACTCTCTGCTCACTTTCCACTCCATCCCCTCCTTCCCTTCACTATTAGCATGGCAACTCCTGCTGGCAGGCAATGGGTCCTGACCCATATTACCCCGAGCTCCTCCCCACCAAACCTCGACCTATCCCGATGCCCCATAATACCTTAAGCTCTTGACTTCACCCAGGATATAAAAACTGGGCTGCCATTTCTCCGGTGCGACTTCTCCAGCCCTGCTCTTTGGGGACGGTGAACCTCGCCCGAGAGCGCGCTCTCAATAAAGCCTGCTTAAAGCCTGCTTGCTTTATTATTTGGCTCCAATTTGGCCTTCCAATCAGCGTCGACCTAACACAAACTAATCTACATGTTACTAATTATTGATCAATTTCAAATAGAATAGCCATGCAAGCATACCTATGATCCAGTGTTTTAAGTTAAATTGCATTTACTTCCCTGTCACAATTACCACCACAAGTTTTATGAACTGTATGTGAATTTCTGTCGCCACCCAGCTGCCTCACTAAAACATCTGTGGGGAATTGCCATGTATCTCCAGTACATAGTTACAAAACTAGAACAATACATTCATGAAATCCTTACTTCTCTCAACCTCTCTCTTTTTATTAAAACCTTATTTAGGAATGGTAGAGTGGTTCAAGTGTAGAGCACCTGCCTAGCAAGTGTGAAGCCCTGAGTTCAAACCCTAGTACCACCAAAAAAAAAAAAATTGTATAAAACCTAATTTTATTTTCTTCTGTCTTCCAGGAGGAAGATTAAGGCACACATACAAAGTAGCAAATTAAATTCCTCTTTGGGGTGAGTGAAAGGAGGGAGGAGAATCATTACACTTCACTGACATGTTCAGAAGAGCACCCATGCATGTGTGGATACTCCATCTTCCAAATAGTTGACACAAGCTGAGACACTTTATCATTGGTGACTTTGTCTCTTTTTTCTCATTTTTGGTACATTTTAATAGGTCTCATTACATTTTCATACATGTCTATAATATACTTTGATCATATTTACTACCCCCCATTGTCCTCTCTTGTTCCCCCTCCCTCCTCCTGCTGGTTCCCTTCCTCTTCCCAAATAGTCCCACTCTACTTTCATGTCTTTTTTTTTTTTCAGTATTGGGTATTAAACTAAGGGCTTATGCTTACTGTGCAAGTGCTTTACCATGTGAGCCATGCTCCCAGTCCTTTTTTAGCTTTTCATTTTTCCAGATCTGGTCTCAGGCTTTGACCATGGCTGGTCTCAAACTATGATTCTCCTACTAGCTACTGAGTAGCTAGAACCTCAGGTATGTATTACCATGCTCATCCTCTTTTTGAGATAGGGTTTCTCCAACTTTTGCTTGGAGTATTCTTAAACCATGATCTTCTGAGTTGCTGGCATTACAGGTATGAGCCATCACTCCCAGCCCATGTTTTCTTTTTTTTTAAATCTAGACTCCATACATGAGAGAAAACATGTAATAATTGTCTTTATCAGTTTGGCTCATTTCACTTAGCATGACAATCTCCAGTTCCATTCATCTTCCTGCAAATGGTATAATTTCATTCTTCTTAATGGCTGAATAGAAATTCATTGTGTATATATACATCACATTTTCTTTATCCATTCAGCTGTTGATGGGCACCTAGCAATTTTTTTATTTACAAACATTGTTTAAAGGATACATTTATGAAAGTAGAAATCTATAGTACAGAATGCAGGCTTGAATATGCTCAAAGTACATTATACGCATGCATGGAAATGTCATAATGAAACCCATCATTTTGTACTATTAATGCATGATAATAAAATCCAAAAATAATACAACAGTGATAGAGACAGTACTTTTATAGCATTTCTTTCGTGTTAGGAATTTTCTGCACCATTATACATGAATTAACTTGTATCAGGCTTAATTTGTCACATTTATTTCCAGTTTGAGCATTCCCATGGTTTTGAAAGTGCTTGTTAAAATTGAAATTTACACTGTACTTTTTATTTGTGTAACCTTTTATCCACACACTCTCATCACGTTTTCGTAAGAACACAGGAAAATCGAAGACTTTCCCACCTTACATTCAAGAGGTTTTGGGCCAAAGTATGTTCTTTCATGGCTCTGAAATGAACTGGGGCGACAGAAGGCATTTCCACATTCTTTACGTTTATAGGGCTTCTCTCCACTCTGCATTCTCATGTGTCCATAAAAAGTTGAGCAATAAATGTAGGCCCTCTCTGTACATTCATAGGGTTTCTCTCCTGAACTTTTTCATGAGTTTAAATGAATAAGGATAACAAATGGTTTCCTACAGTTATTATATTTGGAAGGAGCATCTCATTTAATGACATCTGTTTTGCTTTACTTACTTACTAGGATATATTCATTGTATGGGGGCAAGGGTTCATTGTGGCAATTCCATATGGGCTTATATTATGCATTTGTTATACCACCTCCACTGTCTCTCCTCCTGGACCTCCTCTCTGCCCGCTTAAAACTATTGCAAGACCTTTCTGTATTCTATTAGTTTATGAAGTACATCAACCATATTCCCTTACTTTAATCTTCTTCCTTCACTCTTCTCCCTCTCACAATAACAGGTCAGGTTTTAAAGTTGAAATATTTATTGAGAACTCTTAGATTTAAGTCCATTTGGCTTCTGGATTGGGCTCCTGGACTTCAGTCATTGTCTTGTTAAATGAGAGAGACCATCTGTGTAAGCTGCTCTAATTGATAGACAATGTCTATTTGTGATTTCTAACCTGTGCTCTTTCAGTTGTCAAGGACACAGCTCTTGAGTCTGGGTCTTTCTTTTTTTTTAAATTTGCCTGTGTAAACTCCCAGCACCAGGCCTAGATGATGTTTAGGATATGGATTACTCCTGAGTAAGAGAGGACTAAGCTTTGGTTGAGTGACCTACTTCAAAGCAAACTGTGATAACCCCTGGCATCTGGCTACTTTTTTTTTTAATTGAACAACAGTTCATTGTTTTGTAATAATGTCAATTGTTCAACATTGACATTTCTCTTTTTTAATTTTTTTCTTTCTCCTTTATTTTATCATTTTTACATTTACTTACAGGTGTATACATTGTTTGTGCCACCTCCTCCCTGCCCCCCACCTTGTTCTCCAGTTTTGTTGAAGAGAAAACATAGGCGATAATAAGAAAGAGTAATTGTTTTTTATAGTTTGGGATAAAGACAGCTATACAGAGAGATTCCTAGCGTTGCTTCTTTGCACTTGTGAATTGCAGCCCACATTGGTATTTCTCTATCAGAATTCTTCATTACTTCCTGGTCCCCTTCCTATAGTGGCCTCTGCCAATTTAAGATTACTTTATTCACTCTTCTACAAGGAACACACCACATTCAACTTTTAGGTTTCCCATGTCCAATAATATTACTGCATTTGTTTTGGGTCTATAATCTGCATATGAGGGACAACATGTGATTTTTGGCCTTCTGAGCCCGGCTAACTTCACTTAAGATGATGTTATCTAGTTCCATCCATTTACTTGTGAATGACAAAATTTCATTCTTCTTTGTGGCTGGGTAAAATTTGATTGCATATAAATACCACATTTTCTTGATCCATTCGTCAGTTGTGGGGCATCTTGGCTGTTTCCATAACTTGGCTATTGTGAATAGCGCTGCAATAAACATGGGTGTGCAGGTGCCTCTGGAGTAACCTGAGTCTCATTCCATCGGGTATATCCCTAGGGGTGGATCATACTGCAGATCTATGTTTAGTTTTTTAAGGATCCTCCATATTGTTTTCCAAAGTGGTTCTACTAGCTTAAATTCCCACCAGTAGTGT